ACATTGACTATAATTAGGGTCATGAGCTTTTGTTATGTTGTTTGTCTTCTGTAGAGGAGTATAGCTCCATATTTTGATTGTTATTTTGTAAAAATTTTCATTGTAGAGATTTTGAAAAATTCTATTTATAAATGAAGTGTAGCTAAACTTTCTATTAAAAATTTGAATTTGATTTATGTAAAAGGTAAAATTAGATACATGTAATCATAATGATAGCATGTCAGATGTATTAACTCAAAACTTTCCTCAATTAAGGTTTCAAGGATGTATGTTTGTACATATATTTCATATCGATCATTTCTTAGGTGTGATAGACCATTAGTTAACCAGAAAATGACAAAAAAAGAATATTAAAAATTAAAGAAAATGACCAAAAAAAATTTTGGTCATTTTTGATCATTTATTGGTCAACTAACTATTGACTTTTGTCAACGATAGAGGTCAAATTATAATATTTTTAAAAATTAAAAGAGAACATTGCACTAAAAATAAGTTTAGAATTTCAAATGCTTCTATACCTATAGGTTAGGAACCAATTTTTCCATTTAACCCTTCAATTATTATAAATATTATAATCTTAAGCAACTAAATAATGTGTTTTAAGATATTTAAGATGTTTTGCAAATTTTGTAGTGGAAAAATTTCATTAAGAACCCTTTGACCCAACTTAATTTTAGTCAAAGCTTCTAAAATTTTAAAATTTTATAGCATATGAGAGATTGAAATGGAATTAAAGAGCTAACTAAAAGGAGCTCATTATCCTTGGTGAAATGAACAACCGATATATGAAAAATGAACAAGTGCTGTGTGAAAAACGAACAATTGACATAGGTAAAATTAATAACTTTCATTAACAACATAATACCACTATAAATATAAACAAGTAAAGCTAGGTGCATAAATAATTCATGTAATAAAACAAACAAATGATGTGTGAAAAATAAACAACTGACATAAATGAAATGAGAGCTATAATTTTATAGTGGTGTTATGTTGTTAATGAGAGTTGCAAAATTCCACCAACGTTAGTTGTTCATTTTCCCTACACAAGTTGTTCGTGTGCCTAATTTCACTAAAGATAATAAGATCATTTCATTTAACTCTTTAATTTCATTTTAATCCCCAACATGTACATTGATATTTCAAAATTTTAAAGACTTTAACTAAAATTAAGGTTGATGAAGATGTCCTCGTCGAAATTTTCTTTTTTACAATTCAACTTAAATCTAGAAGGTAATTTTCATAAGAATGATTCAAATTGCTTACAAGTGATTGCCCAAATTCATAACTCATTATTTTTCCCTCTAAAGAATGTATTTCAAACTATCTGTAAGTAGAGTTGGAAAAACAGGCAAACTTAACCCTTAAGGGCTTGAGCTCTAAAGCTTGATTTTTCATTTTTAATTTCATTTCTCACGTTTGACACTTATATGAAGGGCTTAGGATTGGGCCTATAAGACTTGTTTTAAAAAATAAAAAATTTAAAAAAAGTAAGCATTATAAATTAATTAAAATATTTTGAAATTAAAAAAATTAAAATACTCAATTTTTTAGAAATTAAACAACATACAATTAAAAGTCTAGTAATAAAATTTAAATCTTGATTAAAAAATAATTCATTTTTTATATATACACAAACATAATAATTATAGAAAAATAAAAAATATTAAAAATTTTATACTATACACTGATATTTATTAAATTATATTAAATTAATTTAGAATAAATTAAAATTAATAATAATATAATACGTGTAAGATCAGGTGAATGTCATTGGCTTTAAATATATATTCCACTAAAGAAAAAAATAAAAATAAAAATATAACATGTCTTGAAGGGCAGTCTAGGCCCGAGCTTTTTTTTTTACAGGGCTTATTAGGGCCAAGCCCTCAAGCGTAATTACTTTAAAAAAATTTGTTTTAAAATCTGAACCCTTATTTAAATAGATCCTCCAAGCTCAGTCTTCTAGGCCTAACTCTTGTTCTTGGCTTTATTTGCAAGTGACCTTCTCAAATTTCTAAGCAGCCTACAAAACTTTCAAGCATTTTTTTTTTGCACAGCCAAAACTTTCAAGTATGCTTTTCAATTTTACAATTGAAATTTCTAAATCTGTAAAACAATTTTTGGTAAAGATTGTGTTTTAAATTATTTACAAGTGACATTAACAAAAATTCACAACTAAATAACCAAAATTCTTTTGTTAAAAAAAAAAACCAAATTCACCACTCAAAGTATTTTTGAATAAGGGATGTGCAAAGTATTTATATGTAAAGTTGGAAATAAGATTTGGATTTAGTAGCCTACTTAAACATGCTTTTATAAAGGTTTCGCCTTAAAAATGTCATTTTTTTAAAAAAATTGAGTTTTGAAGCCCAACCCTATTAAACAATGAAAAAATGGATTCAAACGCAAGTAGTCTTTTTAAACTTATTTTATTTTTATGGATAAAAATAAAATATTTTTAATTTTTGAATTGAATTTAAACTTTAAAATATATATTTATATTTTAATATAATAATTTTTATTATTTATTATTTAATTTTTAATATTATAACTTGTATTTAAAAAATATGAAATATTATAATTAAATATTTTAATTTTTAAAATTTTAAAATAAAATAAAAACGGACTTACAGACCCACCTTTAAACCTTTTAAATAAGAGTTGAGCTTTAAAAAAATAAAAAATTTTAAAACAACCAGGCTTATGAGTTTAGACTCTTAAGAGCTGAGCCTATAATTTTTTATCTGTAATATTTTAATTATAAGTAATCTTCATAAATTTACAAGTGAGTTTCTCAAATTAAAAACTCAAATCAATTTCATTAAAGATTGTGTTCCAACTTTTTCGTAAGTGGCGTTCCAAAACTTCCAAACCGGCTTCCAAAATTTTCAATTATGCTTTAATTTACAATTCTACAATAGAACTTCCCAAATCCACGAAGTAGTTTTCATTAAAAAAAAAAAAAGTGCTCTGGGTTATTTACAATTAATCTTTGTAAATTCACAATTCAAAGCAATTTTCACTGAATAATGTGTTTAAGTGAGCTTCTCAAATTTACAAGTGAGCTTCCCGAATTCACAACTCTAAGCAATTTTTTTTTTCAAATAATGCATTTCAATTTATTTGCAATTGGTTTTTCTTAATTTACAAGTATATTTTGGAATTTTTACCACTCAAACTCCAAACTACACAGTTCACAATGCAAAATAATAATAATAATAACTGAAAAGTGTGTTTCAGATTTTAAGTTCAAAATTGTTTCAAATTTATAATTGAGATTACCAAACTTGCAAGAATCATCTTCTCCATCGGTTGTTTCTCTCAGAAGAAGCAATCGAATCAATTTCATGAAACACACACGAGTCAAACCAGAAGAAGGAAAACCATGATGGCATGTTTGGCTAAGGAAAATTGAGGAGATCAGAGTGAAAATTTTAACAAGTTTGATTTGAGAAAATTGGGAAAATGGGTTTAATTTTTTTTATTAATTTTCCTTACTCTTTTATTTTACATGTTTTTATTAAAATTTTATAACCCCACATCTTAAAATTATTTTATTCGTTGACTGTATCATAGTATTTTTTACACCAAATTTATTTTCTGGATTTTACTTTTGAGAAATTGATGGCCTGTTTGGCAATCTGTTTTGAAACAGTTTTTTATTTTTCAGAACAAAAAAAAAAAAAAACCTATTTGATAATGTATTCTCGAAATGTGTTTTAGAGAATAAAAAAATAAAATATTATTTTGAAAAACAGAAAAATGAAAACAACTTTCAAGTGTTTTAGAATTATTATTTTAAAAAATAAGAGAGAATGAGAAAAATACGTATTTTTATTATTATTTTATTCTCAAAACATATTTTACAAAACACCAATTCTCAAAATAATAAAATAAAAATAGTTTTAAACAGCCCTGAATCATTCCCAAATCCCAAAATCAACTCAACCAGGTTTCAAGAAATTTATTTTATTAATCATTATTGATATCGACGGTTCCAATAATAAGTAAATAATATATATTTTTAAAAGTACACTATCATTATGTCTTTCATTGAAGAAGAATAATAAAAATTCGTTTTCTATATATTCAATTATTCATATATATAGTAACATACTTCCTTAACTAGAGACATTGACTCTGGGAGGGATGCGGTGGCCGTGCGGTGGTGTTTATCCCAAATTTGTCATTACAATCTCAAAAATTAATCAAATTGCATAAGAATAACATACTAGCATGATCGGATAAAATTTAAATGCATATATATATATATATATAAAGATTGGCTTATTAATTATTATTTATTAATGACTATGTATCACCATTGTTAAGCAGCACAGATCTCCGATTCTCTAGATTTATTAGCTAGTACTCCCTTTGTTTTTATCATAGAAAACAATTTCTCCGTTTTTATTCTAAGAGAAATTGTTACATATTTCTTTATTATTTTTTATAAGTAAAATTATAAAATGTAAAAAGAATTTATTATATTTTTCTTTAATTGTCTATCATAAAATTAAAATTTATTTTCACAAGACAAATTTATAATTAATTATAAAGTGATTTACTTTAAATTTGTTACTCCCTTCGTTAAAAAATATAAGGTATTTTTAATCAAATTTTACCTTAATAAAGTGAATACTTATTTTCAACTAATCATATTTTTTTATACTTATCCCTATTAAACACTATACAATAAATATAAAGTTATTATTAATAGAGACATTTTTTAAAGAAAGATAATAATTATACCTCAAAAGATTAAAAAAAGTCTTACATTTTTAAATATCAAACTCTTCAAAAAATATTTTATATTTTTAAATGAAAGGAGTGTTATAATTACATTGTGTGAATTATTATTATTTTTACTTGGATTTAAAAAGGTATTTCGCATGCCATCTTTCAATTTTATAAAAAAAGTGTACTCTGATAAAATGAAGTACTCAATTAATAAATAGATCTAGACTACCACGAGCATGTGCTTAACCGGGCCAATAAGAATTCTCTATTTGTTTTACTGAGATGCATAAACAGTACTTCACCGGTGCAGGGGGAGGAAAAAACATAAACAGTTTTTATAATATAGAAAATGAGGATTTTCTGATAATTTAAATGCAATAAAGTTGACGAAATCTCAGTTTTTGAAGGGAGGCGAGCCTGACGGCGGTGGAAGCTGAAAAGGTGGCGACACTACTAGAGGCGGCGACGGTCCTACAAGAACAAAGCTCTCCGGAGGTAAAAAGGGCGGTGCTACGGTAGAACCACCAGAGGGGAGATCTGGTGGTGGGAAAACGAAGCTCGGCGACTGCGGCGGAGGATCGGTGAATATATCAGGAGGAGGTGACAGCCATGGAAATATGGGCGTTTCTGGTAGATCTGGAAGTGGAGGAGGGGAGAAGACAAGCGGTGGTGGAATGACCAGCCACGGTGGAAAAACCACGGGCGGTGGCGGAGACGGAACCAAGGGAGGCGGCGGAGGCGGAGATGGTGGTGGGGGTGAAGGAACCAACGGCGGAGATGGCGGGGGTAGGTTCCGGCGAGGCGGCGTTGATGGAAATGGTTGAAATGGATTGTTAGGAGAAGGATAGGTGGGAAAAGGCCAGCGACCACAGAGAGCAAAAAGATAAAGATAAAAAGGGTCGCACTTGAATCGTCTTCCTAATCCTCCACCATGTCTGTGTCTTGTTCTGGAAAGCTTTTGTTGATCTGCCTCATGTTTGGGTAATAACGTGAGCTGTGAAAATGAGGGAGACAACAGAAGAAGAGAGATGAGAGCCACAATGAAGACGTACTTCGCATTTGGTTTCATTTCCATAGCCTGATACAATCAACAGTCCAAATGAGGATGCCTCTATTTAGAGGTTGAAGTGCATGCACATTGGAATGGAAGAGATATATAAGAGAGAGAGAGAGAGAGAGAGAGAGAGAAGAGAAGACAGAAGAATTACGACTTTCTATGGAGTTAGATTGGGATGTCATGAATGAGACGGACAAGAATTAGGTGATTGCTATGAATATTTATGAACGCTATTAGTAAGAGGGAGGGTGCCTCTTTGTAAGTGCCAATCTCACAAATGCCACCGGCTCCCATGGAAAACATCACACTACTCTTGCTTCCTTCATATACTATTGGACAAGGTCATCCAAACTTATTTAATTGTAGTCCTTCCTCTCTCATCTACTCTCTCTAGTCACATAGATTCCATAGAAGGATTGTAACTGTAATAACTATAAAATCCCATCAAATACAAAAATAATTTTGAAGTTCCGCGGTCCTTGATTGTAAATAAATTTTAATGTATATTTACTGAACTGTCCTTGTTTTAAAAAAAAATTAATCCCCCAGTCCTTATAGTTGAGTTTTTAACTAGGTCCTTATAGTTTTTTTTTTCTTTTTATTGAGTTCTTCAAATTTACTTTATTACATCAGTTGATTCTTTTTGTTTAAAACTGTTAATAAATGTTAACGGTGTTAAAAATTCCATTAAGTAATAATTACGTGGCAATATAATGGGAATTTTATTTTCATCAAATCTGATCGGGGACCAAATTTCTTTTTAAAAACATTTAAAATAGGAAACTCGTTCAATTCATGTAAATTGAAGACGTAAAGAAGCGTAACCAAGAAGATTCACATTTAAAGTTGCCATTGTCTCTTTTGTTCCATTGATATCGACGCAGGAAAGGAGGCAAAACCATCATCATTGAACTCTATAAGGTCAGTCAAGAGAGTCATTTGTCTTCTTTGTTTCATCGTTCTTTCTCCCTCTAGGTTAGTAAACATACTGTACTTGTGCTAAGTTGCTCTGAATCTTTTCTTTTCGATCATTGAATGAAGATGGGACTAAGTTGATGTTTTAGTGGTGATAGGATCAGGCGAGAGTTTTTTTCCAATAAGAAAATTGCAATACAAAATGAAGGTACAGCATTAGAGTAAACGAATGACATGCTAAGATTTTGCAAGATGTAAATTTTTTATAGATGTAATTTATAGATATAAATTGCAAGATGGAGTTTTTTATAAATATAAAAGTGGTGGGCCTTTAGTCAAAGACTTGCTGGGATTTCTTTTACTTTGTAACCCCTGAAATTGAATTTTTTATGTTAGAAAGTTTTTTCTATCATTTATATAGCTTCCCTGGTTGAATCTAAATGTAGGATAATGGAGGCTTTGAGTACAAACAATGTCAAAAAAGAACATTAAACTAAGTGCTGTCATGATTTTTTAGTGTAAGGTAATGTAATTGGCATCTTCATGTGTCCTTTGAAAATTAATATATTATCCACATATATGTTTATGTGATTTAGTGTCATCATCAAATATGGATGTTGTGGTATTAAATTTCAAGTATATGATGGAGCATGAAGAAAACATAGAAGGAGTGAGTAGGGATGAAATGCTATAATACTTAGATGATAGTGATGAAGCAAATTTGGGTGATGATTACTTTAATGAATTTATTGGCATTGACATAATGGATGACATGGGATAAGGTTGTAGTAGCTATTCAAATGTGTTAGACCACCAACATGAAGATATACAAATTGTTCCTTCCTCTGGAGTGTTAGATGAGAATATTGATGATTTGTTATTGGAATTAAAAGATGAGGAGTTATATAAAGACTATGCAATTGATGAAGATGAAGATAAGCTGATAACGAGATACTAAAAGTACAATCTAAATGAGATGTCCAAGGACTTCACATTTAGTTTAGGGATGGAGTTTACTTCAATCAAACAATTTAGAGATGCTTTAAAGGAGTACTCTTTGTTGAATGGTTATGCATTTGACTATGTAAAAAATGATAAAGAGAGATGTCGAGTGAAATGCACTAGTAGATGTGGCTGGCTAATGTTTGTAAGCAAAGAAAGTGACTCATTGACTTATCGACTGAAGACATTAAATCCAAGGCATGCGTGTAGAGTAATAATCAATGCAAAGAGGGCTTCATCAAAGTGGATTGCTAAAAAAATAATTGACAATGTCAAAATTAACAAAGATATTAAGTTGTCAGATGTGCAAGCAACCGTAAGAAAAGATTACATGGCTCAACCCTCAATTAGTAAAGCATTTCAGGCCAGAAAAATTGCAAGGGAGATGATTGAGGGGAATCATAAAGAAGAATATGCTTACTTGATGGACTATTGTTTGGAAGTCAAGTCAAAAAATCCAAGGTCCATATTTTGTCTTGTCACAAATAAGCCATATGTAGATTGTCCGTGAGTATTTAAAAGGTTGTATATGTGCTTGGAACTAGTGAAAAGGGGCTTCAAGGCAGCATATAGGCCAATTATTAGATTGGATGGATGCTTTCTCAAAGGCCTATATGGTGGTATATTACTAGTAGCAGTGGCTCGTGACCTTAATGAACAATATTTCCCTTTAGCTATGGCAATGGTGGAGACAAAAAATAAGGATTATTAGACATAGTTCTTGAAAAATTTGTTTGATAATATTAGCATCATGGCTGAAAAAAGATGGGTATTTATTTTAAACCAACAAGAAGAAATTAAGATCTAAAGTGCTTTAATTATCATATTTCTATTTATTTGTTCATATAAAAATTATTGGTTTTAATGTGTGGGTTTGGTTGAAGCATTTGAAGAGTTGCTTGGAGATGTTGAATATCATTATTGTGTAAGACACTTGTATGCCAATATAAAGGCATGGTATGGTGAAGAAACTTTAGCGAGAGACTTAGTGATTTGTGTAGCAAAGGCAACTTACCCACCGACATAGGAAGGGATAATGAATGAGTTGAAAAAGGTTCAAAGAATGCATATGATCACTTAATGACTTTTCCTCCATTTTGTTAGACCAAGGCACACTTTAATGATTATTTTAAATCTGATATGATTATGAATAACATATCAAAGTCTTTTAATGGTCAATTATTAAAGCCAAGAGAATGTCCAATTATTGGTCTTCTTGATTGGATTCGAACTTATTTGATGGATAGATTTCATCAAAATTGAGTAAAAGCATAAAAATATCGTGGCAAGGGATCTGTGTGCTCTCGACCTCATAAGAGGCTTGACAAAGAGATAGAAAATTCTAGAAAGTGGGAACCAAGGAGGGCTAATAATGATCAATTTGAAGTGTCATACAACTCTTAAAGGTTTATTGTTGATCTTCATTCCAAGTTACCTACTTGTTGATGGTGGCAACTAACTGGAATATCTTGCAGGTTTGTTTATAACTCACTTTTAAAGTTTCATTTATTCAATCTTTATAACTAATATTCTCTATCTTTTAGGCATAATGTTAGTTGCATTTATGTCAATTGACTAAACCCCATTGATTATGTAGATTCAACACTAAGTCTTGAAGCTCATGTGGAGTGTTATGCTCTCGTGATTTAGCCTATCAATGGAAAAGAGATGTGGGAGTGCACAAGCTTCGAACAATTGATCCCCTAAAATATCACAAGCGTCTCGGTAGACCAAAGAAGAAATGAAAAGAGAGCAAGATGAACCTCCATCTCCAAACAAGATTAGAGATCCAATATAAGTGTCAAGTGTAAGATCTATGGGAATTTCGATCACAACCGAAGGACTTGCGACAACCAATCAATTAAATGAGGGATACAGGATGTAGTAGCCAATATTGATGTTCAAAGGTTTAGAATAGATATTTTGGAGTTTTTTGGATGTGGCTTCATATGCCATTTTGTTGTAGTTAATAGGGTATGCTCATGTACTTAGAGATGATTTTATATATATTTTGGATTTAGTAATTAAGAAATGATGTTATGTTTTTGGTAGTTAACTCTAATCTTTCAGGATGCGTCTATAGATATGATTATTTCTCAAGCTTGCCTATTTTCTTTTTTTCTTCCTTGTTGGTTAGAGGTTTTCCTTCCTTGGCATGTTATTTATCTACCCTTTCCAATAGAAGTGTGCTACTTTTGGTGTATCTGTATCAGGTTGTGAGAATTCACTACAAGTTTGTGAGAATTTTCCACTGAGTTCTATGAAATTTACCTTTGTTTCTGTGCATAGATTATAGAATTGGAAAGAAAGAAAGATGAATAACACTCATATACTAAGTTTTATAAAATTTACCTTTATTTTTTATTCTAAGGTAATATTGTCAGGTTGTGAGAATTCAATATAAGCTTGTGCTAATCAATAAAGAAACTAGAAGGGGTGACAATTTTCTAACGTGGCAAATTTTTGTCCTATGATAGAGAGAACATGGCAATAACAACTTTTGACCATTCAATAAAATAGTGCATTGTATTACAAGAATATAAAATAGGACAATGACATATCCTTGTTACCATTCAATATCATTTTTTACATCAATTCTGAAATATAGTTGTTTATATGCCACTTCACAAGAAGTTACAAGATAGAAGCCTACAACTCAAAGTGGTAAAAATAGTCTGCCATACACTTTAAAATATGTAGCAGAAATGAACAACAACAATAACAAGCTAACAATCCTAAAGTCCTGAACAACAGCAGCAAATAAAACTTCTAAATGCTCAAACTAACAATCTTAAAGTCCTAAACAACAGTAGCAAGCCAAAAGCCTAGTTATTCAATTCTTCCCAAGTTACAAAAGCATATGCAACAAGCAAACCATGTGAATCTTCAAAACTAGTTCATTCTTTTACATGAGAATTTCTTCCATAATCTAAATGTCCCTGAAAGAAACTAACCAAAACAATATTCAAAGGATCAAAATAGTCATCTAACTATCAAATTTTCATAGAATAATCATAATTGCAAGAATCAAATAACCAGAATACTAATTCCACTTGCAAATAAAAATGAATTTTTAGTTATAGGTGCAAGGAGATAAAGCACCACACAGATTTAATTGATGAAGGTTTAAGGAATCTATCATTAAATTAGCATATAATTACACTTTATTAGCATATACCTTTAACTAACAAATGTGAAGAACCTACTCAAGAAGGAAAAGAAAAATTGAGAAATCAAAGGAATTTGAATCTAT